CTTAATTAGAGCAGCCTTCTCTCTCTTCTTCTGTCTCACTTTGGCGCCACTGCCATTGCATCTCCAGATTTGTCATTTCACGGCCTCCAAATCAGCCTCTTTTGGCTTTCTGCTACCAAATCCGCCACCGCCATTTTATTGTTGGTTGTGGTTGCTATCGGGACTAAGGTTGAGTTTTTCTTGTTTATTTTGGTTTTTGGTTGTGTTCCTTAGAGTCCATTGTTGTTGTGGTTGGAATTTATAATTTATCTCAGAAATACTCTATTGTCAAACTCTTATGATCGGCTTCTGCTTTGCAATACGAGCACAAACACAACCACGAGATATGTGTCTGGATTTTTTCATAGTTTTCACATTTGTGCTTCTTGTACTAATTTTTGCTTGTTTAGGGGTTGTTTGAGATGTTCTAAATAAGTGTAATTTTTGATTTTTTATGAAATATGGGTTGGGTTTGAAGTGATGTGGTAGAGAGATGATGTGACTTAAATAAGACGATGTGATTTAAATAGGATAGTGACTTTTTGACTTTTTTTTAAGATACCAAACTTAGCCTTAGTATAAGTTTTATCTGTTGAATAGACTCTTAGGGATGTACCATTTGGCTTACCTCAATGGAAATTTCTTCTGATAAAAAAACATAAATTTACAAATGAGTGCTGCTATTAGCACTTGTCAAAATTCTTTGGACCCCCCATTTTATAATTTTTTTAATTACAATTATACTCTAAGGTAAAATTACATTAAAAAATATTATTAAATGGAACACCTACCTATTAATAAGAACTAATACTCTATAATATTGGACACCCACCCCCACCCCCACTTCCAACTCTAACTATACGTATTCCATGTTTGTAAATCCTAAACCTATTACTTTTCATAACCAACTAATATAAACCCTAAATCTATTATTTTTCATAATCATCTTAAATCCTGAATGTGTCATCTTCATCACCATCATCAACGCTATTGAACTTGAAAGTTTTGCTTCAAGTATAACGTATATTTCATCACTTATTTCACTGTGTAGAGCAATGAAGGACAAGGACAACAATTCTAGTGAGAATGACGTTCCATTAATAAGTTTATATGTCTTGTATTAACATTCTCGGTCGTTTTCGGTTGTTCTTGTTTCGTTCGAGCTGTTCGGTACTGGTTTGCTGACTGTTAGAATTATGTTCGGTAATACAGTACTGAACATAATCTTTTCGTTCAATACATAGGTTCCGAACATTAATGCAGATAGTCAGTTATGTAATTTTCTTTGTTAAACTAACTTAGAATGTAAAAGAGTGAATTGGAATGGATTTAAGTCATGTATTTTGAATGGATTTAATTCATGTTATTTTAAGTTGTGAATTGGAATGGATTCAAGTTACACAATGATGAACAAATTTTGTTCGAACATACAGTGCTGACAGGATCATTATTGTTCGACAAAACAATTCTGAACAAAATACATTTTTTCGACTACACAGTGGTGAACAAATTGGGTGGGTGTGCATTTCATTGTAAAAATATTGTGGAGATTAGTTTTCCATATAAGTACATTGTTTTCTATTCCTACAATTTGCATCAATCTTCACTTTCTCATCTGAATTTCCCAATCAATGGCAAATTCGAAAGAGACTCACGTCGTCGAAATCCCAATCAATGAAGAACACCAACCCCACAAACTAATCTCCACAATTCAAAACCACCCATTAATGGAAATCTCTCAAAGCCCAGGTCACCTCTTATTTCTCAAGCTCTTGCAAAGAGAAGAACACCTCTGTGCTCACCAAATCACAATTAAAGAAACAAGAAAAGACACAATTGGAAGAGAAATATTCCAACTCTGTTTTTTCTTCTTCATTTTCCACTCATTATTCTCAATCATTCTCTTCACTTCAACCACCAAAAACCAAAATGATTACAAATCTTTGTGTGAAAAATGGTGGGTTCTATCGATTTTGTCGGTTTCGGTTTCGATTGTTGTGATCTTCTTGGTTCAGATTAAGCTCTAGAGGTACTGAAAAGTAGAGAGAGGGTCGCAGAGAGAGAGAGGAGTGATGACAGAGCAGTGATGAGGTGGATTTAGGAGATGAGGATGAAAGGAGTGAGTTTTGATTTGTCGAAGGAGAGTCAGGGAAGGAGAGGGATGAAAAATTAGGTGGGTGTGCATTTCATTGTGAAAATATTATGAATATGAGTAGATTTGGTAATAAGTGAGGTGTTCAAAAAAATATTATTAAAATTTAGGGTTTAGGGTTGGGGCTCAAAAATATGGGAGGTCTAAAAAATTTTGATAGGTGCTAATAACAGCACTCTTTACAAAATCATATAAAATTTTATAAATTTTTACAAATTTATATTTAACTTACATATTTTTATAAAATCACTAATATAAATTCGGAAAAAGTAGCCTAATTTTGTGCCATGTATGGCACACTGGATATACACCGGAGCATTTCCCGTTTTATTATTGAACAATCAAATTACTACAAAACACCTCTTTTCTCTCTCTCTCTCTCTCTCTTACTTACATGTGTTTATGCTTTTCCTCGCATTGTTATACACATTGCTTGCGTTGTCGCGCATGCTTTACTTACATGTGTTCAAATTCCCTT